AGGCACAGGCAGAGGGGGCAGTCCTGGGAATCAGGAGGGAGGCGTGTCTGGGCCATGTTGCCTGAGAGGAGTCCACCCGCCAGGCCACCGGACAGGGGCATTTATCAGAACTAGAAGCAGAGACTGAGGCCCACTGTCCTGGAGGCCGGAGAAGAGGGGCCTGGGCCTGGGGGTGGGGGCAGAGTGATGGCTGAATAGATAAAAGAAGCAATGAAGGGTGGTGACTGTCCCAAGCCCCACACTCGAGTTTCTTATAAGTGACAGTATAGGCTCAGGCTCTGGCATCTACTAGCTGTGTGACCTGGGGCAGGTCACTGAATGTCTCTGTACTTCAGTGCTTTTTTTCGGATTTTATTTTAAAGATGTGGGGTACAATTCAGGATTAGGTATACAAGTGATCATTATACTGGTAAAGTTTGGGCCTCCCTTTGGTCCCCACTTTGCCTGGTTTGAGATCAGGTACCCTTATTGATGTTGTATCTCCCACCCCCCAGCCCACCCTGACAGTATCCTGCTACTGCCAATTCCTTTCTTATAGCATTATAGTAAAGGTTCAGGGTCTGCTTATGAGTGAGAACATGTGGTACCCTGTTCTTTGTTTCTGTGATAGATGCTGAGTATGGTAGACTCCAAATCCATCCAAGTTGCTGCTAAGTCCATATGCTTGTCTTTCTTTATGGCTGCATAATATTCCATTGTGTATACTTACCACATTTTTTTTTATCCAGTCCAGTTTCAATGGACAACATGGTTGGTTCCATGTTTTTGCTACTATGAATAGTACTGTAATAAACATGCATGTGCAAGTATCTTTTTAATAGAATGATTTGAGTTCCTCTGGATATAGTTCCAGTATGGGGATTGCTGGGTCATATGGAAGGTCAATGTCTAGTTCTTTTAAAAATTGCCACGCTATTTTCCAAAGAGGTTTCACTCGTTTGCTTTCCCACCAGCAGTGTAGAAGCGTTCCTTTTTCTCCACATCCTCGCCAGCATCTGTTGTTGTATGTTTTATTAATGATGGCCATTCTTACTGGGGTTAGGTGGTATCTCAGTGTGGTTTTGATTTGCATTTCTCTGATGATTAGTGAAGCTGAGCACTTTTTCATGTGTCTGTTGGCTGCCTGTATACCTTCTTTTGAGAAGTGTCTATTCATGTCTTTTGCCTGCTTTTTAATGGGGCTGTTTGTATTTTTTCTTTTGTATACCTCAGGTCCTTTGGAATATGTGGAATTGCCATGAGAATGGAACACAAAGCACTGAAACAGTGTGCTTTCAGGTGTGTTTCAGGTGTCTGAGGCCACCTGCATTCTGGTGCATCTTCCAGCTTCTCTAGAACATTGCTGCCAGCGAGTTTTGGAAGCCATTTGGTGATATAGTGGAAGTAAGCAGCAATAACTGAGCTGGTCAGCCTCACTCCTGCAGTCAGGTGCACAGCAATGTCCTCTCCCTCCTCACAGCCACCTGCGTCCCTTTGTTCGTGCCTGCAACGTGCGTGAGGCAGGACTAGCATTGAACCAAGATCTGAGCACCTCGAGTTCTATACCCTCTGCACTGGGGCTCAGTGAGGCTCATGGCCGTCAAGGGGTATGAGTGTGGCTCCCGGCAGCCCCTGCCTCCCTGCAGGACCATGCTGAGGCCCGGTATGCAGGGCTCGGCTTGAGGGCAGGGCCAAGTTTCCACAATGTGGGGAGGAGCTGTGGGGCCTTTGAGTCCCACTGGACAGACAGGAGCCCTCAACCCCTGACCTATGGAACTGCTGACTGGGCTGTTTCTCTTGCACTTCTTTTGGTGTGGTCACTGGTCCCTGACAAGCATCAGGACTCATGGCTACCCCTACTCATGCCCACGGGAGCCCAGCTGCACAGTATGCCCTGTGCTTGAGCATTCAAAAGGGCTGGCTGGAATCCCTGCCCTGCCCTCACTGGCTGATGACCCAGAGCAGGCCACCCAGACCCTCGGAGCCCCCTCCTCACTTAAACACACAGCTGGTGGGAGACCCTTCTCCACAGGGTCTGCCATCTGTTAGCACCTCGAGTGACGTAGTGCTTGGTAAAGATGCGGGTTCTGTCATTAGCTCTGCTTTCCTGTCTCACAGGGTCCTGGAGTGTTGGGCTCACTTATATTTTGTGGATAAAATGGAAATGATGATACCTTTCACTTTACAACTTGCAAATAATTTTAATGAGCACTTATTTCTTGAGAGGTGGAAGAACAGTGCTGTTGTAGTGATGAAAGGAGCCAGTAAACACGTGTGTGAACACTCGGCACTCCAGGTCCATGGCTCTGCTCGTGGGGTCAGCCAGCCATGGGGAGAGAGGCTATTTGGAAACAAGAAAGCATCTGCATTGAACATGCACAGACTTTTCTTTCTTGTCATTATTTCCTAAACAATACAGTAGAACTACTTACACAGTGCTAGATACCAGAAGTGATTAGAGGTGATTTAAGCATATGAGAGGGCATGTGTAGATCACATGCAAATACCACACCACTTATATAAGGGACTTGGGTATCTTCGGATTTTGGTAGTCTCAGGGAGTTCTGGGACCAGTCCCCAGTGGATATGGTGCCTCGCATGGGGCCTGACCCACAGGAAATACACAATAAGCATCAGCTGTTTTAGTATTGTTGTGGTTTATTACTGTGCCCATTTTACGGATGTGTAGACTGAGGTCCAAAGGCAAGGCAGGAGGCAGAGCCAGGATGTGGTGATCCTGTGTCTGGGTCAACATCCTGCGTTCCTCTGGCCTGGTTTTGCAGAGCTTGAGGACACGGGCGCTGCATGCCACAAAGCCTGGGCCGTGTGGCTCAGCGGGTGAGATGACTTTTTGCCTAGTTGAGTGTTGGCACAGTGCATCAGCAAACCTTGGTGCCAAGGAGCTCTTGCAGCATCCTGCAGACGGGGGACCATTCAGTGGGAAGAGGCCGACCCAAGAACTTGCCAGAATTCTGCTTTGTGAGTGTGTCTGAGCTTGGTCTTCGCAGCAGAGCGTGCTGAAGCCATCATCAGAGAGATGACTGTGGTACCCTGTACACATGCAGTCATCGTTTTAAGGGTCCCACACGGCTGCCTCGCTGGTGGTAACATCTGGAGTCTTGAAACCCTTCCAAGTGTGCCAGTAAAGAGATGCAAGTACTCACATGTCTCATCGCTGCACCTGGTGGTCACCTGTGTGGCGAGTCTGTGGATTCTCTGAAGACTGTCGCCCGCTCCCTCGAGGACGCACTGCCTACCAGCCTTTCAGGGGCAGCATCCGTCTTTCTCCAGCAGGAAGGATGGGCTTTAATTGGCTGCTGGGTGAATCAGCCATCTAATGATGCCACCTGTGCGCATCCCTTTCCTGTCACCATCTCCCAGCTTCCCTGTCAACTTGGGCTCTGTTAACACAAACAGCCAGTTTACAAGCCAGGGAAATGTTCAGTGATTATGATAATTGGCGGAGGAGGAGAGGGAAGCCATCCTGACTGGAAGAATAAAGTAGCCTGGTTTTGAAGTAAATGGGACACCGGGAGTCTGAATGGCCACATTTTAACAACCTTTGCGAAGGAGCGTGTAATGCCCTAGAAAGATTTGAGAGCAGAGAGCGAGCAGCCACAGAATGTTAGCTGTTTGTCTTTAAAACAAAAACCCCTCGGCTTACTTCCAGCTGTGTCCAGTTGATGAGATCAGCAGTGCAAAGCATTGTTGTTCCTTTGTTAATCACCGTGAGGACTGGCTTTCCTTTTAAGCAGCCATCAGAGGTGGAGCATTTTTTCTTTTTTTTCAAGAAGAGAGTGTTTTTTATTTTTCTCTTTTATTTTCACAAAGAGAAGTTGGTGACAGCTGCTGAGTTTGGGCTTTTTTATTGCTTGTCATTTTGCGGTTTGAGAAGTGCCACTATAGTACTTAATGCCACAATGATGGCATTAAGAGAGATAACTGTAACCTCTCTGAACCTCGTCCGTCTCCCCCAGAAGAGGAATGTTTCCCAAAATGAGTTCCTTGGGACGTGACTCCTGTGACAAAAACCCATGGTCTAAATAGGATGGGAGAATGCAATATACACCAACAGTTGGAGATTTGCAGAGTTTGGAACCATAGTAAAAACTCTGATAAGTCCTGCAGTAACAGACTTTATTTAATATTGTTTAAAACAATCTTCTTTGATCACAGAACCTTCTTGGCAGAATGCCAATAGATACAGAGGCTGGCTTATAAGCCATGGTCTATCTTCCATGTGTAGAGTTACCCTGCTGGATGGGTCAGATAGATAGGTACTTTGCTGATACCCCAAAAGTTTCCCAGCCTGTGGACCAGCCAAACTCCCCTTGCCAGCCTGCCAGCACCTTGAGCAGGCTGGTTGAGAGGAGCCCTACCATGTGTGCTGAGATCCCAGATGTCTTCAGCTCGCTGGTGGGAACAGGCAAGGTGTGTGCCAGCATTGGACTAGTTTCCAGAAGGTGTGTATGTCAGCGATACATGGGGGCATGCTTGAAGGCCAGCCGGAGCCAGGACCTGTGGGTCCCTGAGTGAGTCTGGGTTTACGTTAAGGGCGGCAGGGCCCACCGGGGAATGCAGCAGGCCCTGCGGGCTTTATAAACCCACCGAGACTGCCTGCCTGGCACCCTCCACTGGAGGAAGTACCCAGACAGAGGCCTCTTCTCAGGGCCCAGACAGAGGCCTCTTCTCGTGGGTCCTGGTTGTTGACTCAGCAGATAGATGAGGGCTGCCTTTGGACTTGACTACAGTTCTAGGGTGGAGGGTGGGACTTTCCTTCTGAGGGAGACGTGTGGCCCCGTGTGGTATTTCACGGTGGGCTGAAGGCTGAGAAAAAGATACTTCCTGAAAGAGCATTGTGGTGGTTGATTGTCCAAGTGAGATAGGATCTGCCTCCACTGACCTCAGTTACCCTCAGAAGAATCAGCACAGGGTCCTCGCCACGCCGCTTTAACGTCCCCATACCGGGTTCCCACAGGACCCAGATACTTCCTTAATGTCCCTGCTGTGTCTTCCTCCAGGAGCTCGTGGGCGAAGTGTTCAGAGAGACGTTGAGCGAGGAGGAGGAGGAGGACTTCCGACTCGAAGGTACTTGGAGTCTGTGGCTCTCTTCCCAGGGGCCAGTGGTGGGGAGGGGGCGTCTGCCCCACATGCTCCAGAATGTGGGCGGGCGAGGCGGAGGTTGGGGACGCTGTGACTCTCAGGGGGACGGGGCTGGAGGAGGGTGGGAGAGAGGGTGAGGCTGGTGTCCAAGCCTTCGTGAGCCCAGGCCCAGGTGGGCGCCCCACCTTCTAGGTTGGCTGGGGGGCCTTGGGCAGCCTGCCCCTCTGGGCATAATAGTAGCCACTCAGGGCTGTGTATGAAGCCCTGTGGACAGCGTTGGGCATGCAGCAAGCACTGCATACAGATGCTGTTGTCTCCCTGTCCCTCCATCCATGTCACAAACAGACATCCCCCAGCCACCTCTCACCTCTCCTGTCTGTGACCCTCATGCCTCCTTTCTTCACGGGGACGGGCTGTAACATAGAGAGAATGAAGAAACTGAAGAAGAGGCCTACTGCCTGCTCATGCAGGTTTGACTTCAGCCATATCGCCTTTCTGAGCCTGTTTCCATGCTGGTAGAATGGGAATGAGGCCTTTCCCCTGCTTGGCTCCCAGAGTCCAGGCAAGGAGTGGATGACTTCATGAAGCCGAGTTTGCAGCTCTTATTCAGAATCAGAGAAAGCAGCCGTCCAACAGGGCAGTCCTAGGAATGTGAGGACCTCTCTCTGTCCAGACCAAGGGCAGGCAGCTGGCTGGAGGACTGGGGCCTGTGGTGTAAGGTCATGGGGGGTTCAGGCCAGAGGGCATAAGGGCCTCATGAGGGGATCCTGGGCCCACCCTGAGGACCATGGCCACCTCTGGTCTGAGAGCCATTATAAATATAGATGCCCAGGCCCCTCCAGGCCTGTGGAGCCCAGTCTGCATCTTTCTAAGCTCCCCAGGTGACGTGTGTGCACCCCGGACTTGGCTGGCATTGCTGGAAGATGCGCAGTCTGCTTCCAGCTGGATATCCAGACATCTAGCACGCTTCGCTCAAATACGAGCGGGCCCCACCTCGAGGAGGGTCCCACAAAAAGCTCTGTCCAGACAGTGGGTGTTTCCTTGGAGTATGTTGATCTGTGCAGCTGGTGTCTGCTCTCGGGGGCTCAGGACTCTGTCTCACTCTTTCCTGGGCTCCCCCAAGCCTCTGCTGTCATCTCTGGCTCTGTGGAGTGCTGCTGGGATATGGTGCCTGGAGACCTGGGAAGCCCGGTGCAGGGTTTGCAGGAAGTTGGTCGTGGTATTCAGACGTGGCTCATGTGGGCATCAGCACTTTTTCCATCTGTCTGCTCATTCACTCGTTCCCATGATCACCTGCTAGCAAGTTCACTGCCTGGTCCATCCATCCTCTTGTCTCCTTCATCCACTGCCACTCACTATCCATGCTGTCACCCATCAGTCCACTCCCCTGTCTGTTCATCCCTCCACCCATTAATTGCTTGCCTACACCTTCCTATCACCCCCACCCATGGATCCACAGCCCACCCACCCAGCATTCTCATCCATCCAGCCCTCCATCTATCTGTTACCCTGCCCAGCCCTGCCATCTCCCCACCATTGCCTGTGCGTTTGGTTCATCTGCACCCTCTTTTGCCGTCCATCCACCCACCAGCCAGCCCTTGTCTATCACCAGCCACCCAATGGTCCCTCCTCCCTCCCATCCTTCACCCATCTGCCCAGTATCCAGGCCCTTGTCCTTTAACCTATTGTGCTAGTCTGTTTATCATCCACCTGTCTCTCTGTCTTTCCATCTAGCCATCATTTATTGGCTCCCTGCTTAGAGCAAAAAACTGGAGACTATTGTTGTGCTAGTCTGTTTATCATCCACCTGTCTCTCTGTCTTTCCATCTAGCCATCATTTATTGGCTCCCTGCTTAGAGCAAAAAACTGGAGACTATTTTGTCCATTGAGGCTCAGCCTAAAATTATTTAATTGTTTAATGAGATGTCCTCACCTGCAGCCAGACGTGAAATGAACCATAGACCTGGTGGGGACTTGCTGTGTGATTTTGGGCAGGTCACTCCCTCTCTGGGCCTGCCCTCAGCCTCTGTACAATGGTGAATGGTAACATGGTGCTAGACTTGGTGGGTGCTCAGTGGATGTGGGTACCTTGTAGGGAGGATGAATCCATGTGAGTGTTGGTTGGGCAGGTGAGGATAAGTAGCCCTGAGGGTCCCAGCTGCTGTCAGGGAAAGAGTGTGAGGTTGTGGCACTTGGTCTGACCCTGTGGTTACCAGCTGCATGTCAGGCTCCAATTGGAGGGCAGCCTGGGCACCTTACCGGTCACTGATATGGGATATGGGAGCTACTAGTGTGCCTCAGTTTCCCCACTAGGAGTGGGGCTAGGTTGTTGGCAGCCAAGATTTTCAGTCCCTTTCTTCAAGTGGATGCTCACAGATCACAAAATGATAAATAGTTAAAATAGGCTTCAGAGAGGTGCATACAGTACGATATCTTTCATGTTAAATAAAGGCACCAGGCGTTCTCCTGGTTTTCTTGGAGTCCATGTGTATCTGTGATTGTGCGAATGGAGGACTAGACAGACAGTAACAGCAGCTCTTTCTAAATGTGGGAGGAGACTACAGTGGAAGGAGTGGCCAGAGAAGGCTGTAGTATTATCTGTATTCATGTTTTAATTTGTACAAGAATACAGTCATGTATTTCTTACGAAATGGAAAACTGACAGCATCTGAAAGTGAGTACAGTGATATGTAAAGCAGCTCTGGTTTCTGCTGGATAGGCATCTGGACCTGTTCCCTTGGCCCAAGACCCTTGGAGAGACCTGGGCCCCAGGGCTCTCTGTGGTTCTCTGGCCACCCTGAGTGCCGTGGTCTGGGCTGCCCACCCCAGGATGGTCTGGTGAGAGCAGGTGCTACCAAGTCCTGGCCATGGAGAACCAGCCACCTGCTCTGGAGCCGGGGCTGCGGGTGTCCCTCTGTGCTACTGGCCAAGGGAGAACAAGCTGGGGCCTGAATCTTTTCTTTGTCTTCCTGTTGGCCAAGTTCATTGCCTCTTGGCGGGCTGGAGAGCTGTTTAAGAGAGAAAAAAGGCCATCTGAGGCGTGAAGATAAAAAGAAGTCTTTTAGGCATCCCAGGAGAGGATGGCTTTAGCTCCTGCGTTGTTATGTAAAGCCGGCCCTAATCCAGCGTCTTAACCGCCTTAACTGGCCAGCTGGGAGCGTGAGGGCTGGGAGATTAAGGCTGGGCTCGGGGCGAGGGCCAGGGCTGCCGAGCTCCTTTTGAACTGGGGAAAGAACAAAGTAAACATCAAAAGTCCCAAGCTCTGAGGGCTGGCTGGGCGTGGCAGGGCTGGAGGGGGTGAGGCTTTCGTGGGGAGAAGGAGAGAGGGATGCCCCCACTCTGCTGACCCAGCTGGGGTCTGAGGACCGGGGAATGGCAACCCACAATCACCTCCAGCACCCCCTTGCTTCCCTACCTCTCCAGCTGGGCAGAACACCGGTGGTGGCAGCCTGCCACTTGAGTCTCCGGGGGAGAATCTGTGCCTGGCTTGTTTGGCAGACCCGCATGGCCCTGTGTGGCTCCCGGGAATCCCTGTGTCCTAGGGGATCTTCCCCCCATTACAGGCTGTTCCGTCCCCCTCTCCCATCCCTTTCCTTCTGGGTCTCCTCTCCTCCCATCACGTGCTGGCCCTGGCCCTGCCCCCATCCAACTTCTTGGCCCACTTCTGTGTCCCTTGACCTCTGCCTTCTGTCCTTCCATGTTCCCAGGTGTCTGTTTCTTGCCTCTCGACCCTATGGCATCTTCTATAGGAAGCCCAGTCTGCAGAGGGCAGTCCAGCAGGCCCGCCCCCATGGAGGAGCCTCTCAAAGCCCCTGAAGGCAGATATCCTCCTCCCAGGTCTGTCCTGTCTCCAGCTCCAAGCAGGCCTGGCTTTGGTTCCTCTGCCCCCTCCTCACTGGCTTTGCATGCAGTGCTGGCAGCCTGTGAGGTGGTCCCTGCCTCCCCCAGGGTGGATGTGCCTGGAGTCGCTGGTTCTGTCCAGCAGGGCGGCGGTGCTGGGTCTGAGACCTGGGACTGAGCAGTCCTTGGGGACCCTGGGCCTGGCCAACTCAGTCCTGGCCCTGAGCTTGCCTTCCTCAGCAGTCCTCCCTTGATTCCAACTTTCTGGGAATTTGTAGTTCAGACCCCTGCTCCAGCCTGGCAGACCCCCACGCTCACTGTGTGGCTTGGCGAGTCACTCACCTTCTCTGGCCGCGGTTCCTCGTTGGGTTCTCGTAGCACTGCGTCATCAGGGTTACGTGGAGAGAGTGAGGTGCTGGATGTTAGCCCGGGAACAGCCCTGGTACAGAGCGAGTGCCCAGTATATGCGAGCTGTCATGGCTCTTGTTGTTTCATGGGTTCCGTTTTCTTGAAGAGGGGCCAGCCTGTGTTTATAATCATTTACCTCGTCCAGATCAAAGAAGGCCTATTTTCAAAGCTTCCTTAATCCTATTAGAATCTCTGAATGCCTCCTTTACTCCCAGTGCATGGTATAGGGTCTGGCAGGCTTTAAGTGCTCAATAAATACTCACCGGCAGCATAAAAGTCAACACCGAAGGCACTGACGTCAGGCAGACTCTCCCTCGGGTCCCTCAGAGAGGCTCTGTGTGCCCACATTGGGATCCAGGCCAACCCATCAGGCCCTCAGGTGTGGATGTCATAGCCATTGATGTAGCTTAGGGGCCCTTGGGAGGTCTTCTGTCCCTTTCATTTGTAGTTGGAAAACTGAGACCCAGAGAGAGGAAGTCAGGCCCTGTTGTCAGGACATTCGTTGGAGGGAAGTATGGGGTGAGTGAATAAGTCATCAAATGAGCATGGAAGCTTCTGATAGTGGTGCTCTGCCTAGAAGCAAAACCCAGTGAAAGTATGGGAAGTGTGAGAAGGCCTCTCCGAGAAGGTAGTATTTCAGCTGAGATGCCAATGCCAGGAGGGAGCCAGCCATGGGAGAATATAGAGGGAGAGCAGCTAGGAGGAGTGAGCAGAACCCCAAGGTGGAAGGAACTTGG